TGTCTGGTGTACTGTCATGTCTCACATGTGTCTGGTGTACTGTCATGTCTCCCCAGAACTTCTTCAGTCTCTTCACGCCGTTCAAGTCATCGCCGCAGACAGCCAGTCCTCGAGGCTCTAAACATCCGCGCAGTCCGTCTACTGTGTCATCTAACAACAGTTCTGCGCCAAGTTCCAAGGTGGCAGGTATGATGAACAAATCGCCGCTGCCTGCAAAACCTGTCCCCTCAAGGGCTGAGGATGTGATGACTGTGGAAGTGTCGCCGGGACACGTGCGAGTGAGCTCTGTGTCTGCCCCGTCCTCCCACGGTGCACCAAGCAACTCCAAGGTTCTCACTCCGTGTTTTCTGGTCCCCAACAGCAAAAACCTGGCCACGACCCACCGCATCCCCACTGCCACGGTAGCCGCGACGACATACACACCAGCGACAACAACAACCTCAGCGCTGAGTCTTCAGGGTCATGGTGCCGTGTCGTACTCAACAAGGGCGATGACAACGACAGTTTCAGCAGACGTCTCCCCCTCCCACAAACTGCGGATCGTCACGGAGCGTGCCCGGCCGGGCGTCAGGTTCCGGGTGTTTGAAATCCCCGCCCACCTCCACGTCGTGTTTGGCGGGAACCTCAACCTGCCTGTGTCCACCAACGAGAGACTCGTCTATCTCGTGGACGCCCCGGCGCGGCCTGGGGACAGCCCCACCGCCAAACTTATCAAGATGTCGGAGGAAGAGAAAGACGCAATCCTCACAGGTTCAGCCAACACGCAGCACAGCGCGGTGCCCCCCTCACCCACCATGCCCAATGTACAACACCGAGAGGTACTCCCCTCGTCCGATGTGTGGCACAGCGTGGGTGGGAAGAAGACAGATCTGCCCACAGCCAAAGTCAAGCCCCTCAGTTCTGGGGCACTCAGTTCTACTGCGTTCAGTTCTACTGCGTTCAGTTCTACTGCGCTCAGTTCTACTGCGCTCAGTTCTACTGCGTTCAGTTCTACTGCGCTCAGTTCTACTGCGTTCAGTTCTACTGCGCTCAGTTCTACTGCGTTCAGTTCTGGGGCAACCAACCTGGACCAAATCTCACGGCCTGATGCTGTTCCAAAGGCTGAAGTGAAAATTGAAAAGGTTCCGTCTTCCAAAAATGTCTGTACGTCTGTTCTTGAAACGGAAGAGAAAGTCAATAATGAAGAGAAAGTGACGAGACCTCAATCAGAGATACCCAATTCCCGGCCGGCGGCGGATGTGCCAGATTGTCTTTCCCCTGTCTCCGACATGCCCGTGTCTTCACCTCAGTGCGCCAGCACCCAGACACCTGTCTTAGCTCAGTCCAAAGTTCGACCGCTCTTCAAAAACTCCCCGGTGACCCAAACTCTCGTCCGCTCAGAAAGTGATGATCGGGATACAAAACCAGACGCTCCCTCCCCGCGTGAGTGCAGTACGTGTGTCCCCACGGGCCAAGCTGTCAGTCCGGTGGAGGCTGATACAAAAACTCCAGCAAAAAACGTGCGGCTAACAGCCTCCAAGGTTGCAGGTGAGGAGGACGTCGTGCCCAAAACTGAATCGGAAGACGAGGAATGTGCGGAGCAGGACCGTGATCAGACTCAGGTCCGGCGCAAGGTGAAGGTCAAGAAGAGGAGATTGTCGCTGAAGGGGAAAACTGTCGCGAAGAGGGCCAGGGACACTGTCATGTCGGACACAAACGAGGTAGGACGTCCTTAGCTTTCTCGTTATTCCGTGGACCCTCCTGTATCGAAACATCATTTTTTTAAAACTGTAAAACAAGCAATGCCTTCATGCACCATCTCGCAGGTTGAAAATAGTTTTGGTTTTAATTGGAATGGATTATATTGTAGATAAAAATCTTGTTCGTTCCCTTCAGTTGTACACCTTCCCTTAACGAGGAAACGTTTCTTTTGTTCCAGAGCAAAGCGTCCAGATTCTCCGTGTTTTGCTGCCGCTGTGATCACAGGCTGTTTGTGGGGAAACCTGCAGCGGGTGAGTCGGGG